AAACACTACCTTATGCCCGCGGCTTTACGTTTCTAATTTGATTGATGAGATCATCGTCCCTTTATTTACAGCAAAAAAAGCATTTTGAATTGTCGTAAGTTTTCAAGTGGCCATGAAGTCTACCACTAAGCAGTAGGTGCTAGATTCGAATATAGGTAAGGTAATTAAATCATTGTTTGTTATATGATAGGACGGCAAATGAGTAGACGGATTACCTGATGGTAAGCAATCAGCGCCGCCGATGGACACCCGCACCCCGTGAGTTGCCGACCTTTTGGGGATTGGGGATTGGAGATTTGGGGATTGAGGAAGGGGAATAATTGGACCATGGTCTGCTCGTTTGCCGAACTATCACAAAAATCCCTGCTAAAAAATCAATATTTTTAACAATCTTAACAAAAGTCGTACATCAATTTACGAGATAAACCTCAACAAACCGACAGACAGGCAGACCATATTTACATTTAGATAGTAATGAATTGTAATATCACGATTTTTATGTCGGTACCTACCGTACATCAAAGTAACGTTCAATCAAAAATAAATTAATTACTTAATAAAGAAAACTTATTGATGTATTATTATTTTACTGACGGACTAGCCCATTGCCCACTAATGATCATTACCCAACGAAATCTCAAATGGAATTTATCAACTACACAAAAAAAAAATTGACAGTATGGGTGACGCAGTGGCTTTGCATCTGGGCTGTCGTTCGTGTCGCCTGTGCTGGTTTGTAAACGCACCTACGACAAAGAAGAAATAACTTATATAAAAAAAGAGAAAAGCTCTACTGGTTACGACGTCGGCGTCGACGCGACGCGCACGCTGCTCATGAATAAGAGTCCCGTTGTGACTTGAAACTAGTTGAGCTTTTCTCCGTTTCATTGCGTAAGTCGTTATTTTCAGTCAACTTACACTGTTAACTTACAGATCTACTCATAATTTACTAAACAGGTTAGAAAATAAATATTGACTCGATTAAGAAAAACCAAATTTTAATTCTGTATGGAGACAATAAGTAACTGCTGTAACATAAAATTTTATGAAAACTAAAATAGTGAGACATACTAAATTCATTGAAAACTAGCAACCCGCTCCGGCTTCACACGGCTGATACTAAAATGCTCCACTATTTAATAGATGTAATTATATATACATATAAAAATCCTATTCCAATACCCTACCTATTAAAAAAGCCCAAAAAAGTCCGTGGCGTGTTTTAAAGATTAATACCACAGACGGGTCCTACAGGGCTGATGTTCTGCCGGGATTGCGGGGTAAGCGCAATGAGGCACCGCGACCTCGGCCCAGAGCAGGAGATGGAACGGGGGGTTTTTAGTCAGTAAGAGTCTGACACTCCCTCCCGCCCGGCCCTGGGCGGGAAAAGTCGTTTGATGATATTCCCCTCACAAAAAAAAAGCTTAGCTACATAGGGATATAGGGACAGAGAAAGCGACTTTGTATTATACTATGTATTGATAACAATATTATAAAGAAGAAAGATTTGATAAAGATAAAGATAAAGATAGTTTAATTGCAAATATGGGTAATACAATACATGTGGTTTAGAGTTAGGTACACTGCGGGCTCAGCCATATTTTACCAGGAGGCATGCAAATCAAATCAAATCAAATCAAAATCATTTATTCCAACTAAACCATAAATAGGTACTTTTGAAACGTCAAAATAGAATAGTAAGTAGTCTGTCAGTCTGTTCGTCAGTGAAGCTAGGTGCTCGTTCCAAATTGTAGTTTCGAATGGAGAAGAACGAGCAAGAAACTCCATCGTTACTCTTTTAAAAAAATATTTATTTTACAATTCACCAATAATACATTTTTTATACATTACTGTACCCCTATGTGAGAACAATGCAGAGACAAGTTGTTACTAAAAAGGAACAAACGATGGTATCTATCATAAAATTTTACTCCTTTGTCGTCTCGAACATGGCGCTCACATATGCGTACTCACAATCCAAAATAATGCTTCTATATAAACTCATTCAAGGTTTCATTAATTTTGAGAATTTCAATAACTACTGACTACATATTTGAGCATTGTCCAGTGGAGCCGAACCAAGAAAATCTGGGCTAGCAAATTTATATTATATAAATGAAAATTAGTATTACGTCAGACTGATTGTTTGTTTGAATTGAATAGGCTTCAAAACTACTGCACCACGGAGTAAGAATAAAGAGGAGACGGCCTAAGCAACTCGGCCCTGTGACACAAGTCGGCCCTCACGTCATCAATGTGGGCGTGGCTTACGTCAGTGTAATGTGGTCGTTCGTCCTACTGCACTATCTTTGGTGAATATTATAAGCCGATAAAACCGCGGGACACAGCTAGTGTTATATAAATTCCTTCTATATTGACGATAGCCAATCAGAATTCAGAGCATGTTATGTACTTACGTTAAAGGTAAGATTCAATCGATTGACGCATTTCCTATAAAAAAATTAAAAGTACAATAATGTCGCAGGACAGGTCAATAACCTCCTTCTTATAGCCCACTTCATTGAGGGCCGTAAAATAAAAAAAAATATTTCCACAGAAAAGGACTTGTGCATCAACCATTGGTTACGGACATGCAACATTAGCTGTTTTAAAAAAAGAGGTGAAATTCAATTATTTTTTAATAACCTTTACTTAGCCGTTTAGTTTAAACCTTTAGTTTTTGACGTTTCAAAAACACCTATTTATGTTTTACTTAGTTGAAATAAATGATTTTGAGTTTGAATTTGAACCCCAAATAATGTTCAATCCTCCTCCTCACGGGCGTCGGGGATGAAGGGACGATCTCCGGCCACCGTAAGCACGGGCCTGCGGTCGGCGAGTAAGCGCAGCTCGCCGCCCGACAACAACCAGACCCGAGCGTACGGCGCTAGCGTTCCGTGCGCGCCTCAAAGAGCCAATGGACCACCACAGACGGGGCCCTATAGAGCTGATGTTCAGCCGGGATTGCGGGGTAAGCGCAATGAGGCACCGCGACCGCGACTCAGAGCAGGAGAAGGAACAGGGGGGTTTTTAGTCAGTAAGTCATTTGATGATTTTCTCCTCACAAAAAAAAAACCCAAATAAGGTTGGGTTCCAATGAACCCCGCGAAGTCAAAGTCAATCACTTTCAGAAATTAACTATCACATCTTTATTTTCGATAAAATATTCATAAAGTAAAAAAGGATAATAAAATGTTTAAGGGGATTTTGGAGCCGTTCTTGTCTGTATATGTATCATCATCATCATCATCACATCATCAGCCCTCTGGCTGTCCACTGCTAGTCTCACTGCCACTGCTAGGGATTATTTTTTTATACTTTGCACCACTCTAGGATTTTCTCCTGTGTCGTGGGTACGCAACAACGATTTGTGGATCACACAAAGTGTTGTACCGTGCGGGAATTGCACCTGCGACACGTTGCGCGACAGCCAGTTGCCCAGCCCCCGTGCCAACCGTGCAGTCAGTTTACTTAATTATAATGTTTAGAGTACCTTTTTAAACATCCACCCACAACCTCTCGAATTCTCATTAACTCAATAGAATAAATAGCGAAGCTTTTTGAGTGTCGTGAGGCGTACTAAAATTGAAAATAACGCTTGTATTTAAATGTTTTAAAATTTTTTTTTATGTAAACGCTCGGCAAACGAGCAGACGGATTACCTGATGGTAAGCAATCAGCGCCGCCCATGGACACTCGCAACGGAGGAGTTACGAGTGCGTTGCCGACCTTTTAGGGATTAGGGATTTGGAGATTTAGGGATTGAGGAGGGATTGGGGAAGGGGAAGGATTGGGCCTCCGGTAACCTCACTCACACGGCGAAACACAACGCAGTGGTTATTTCACGCCGGTTTTCTGTGAGGCCGTGGTATCACTCCGGTCGAGCCGACCCATTCGTGCCGAAGCATGGCTCTCCCACACTTACACACACATTAAATATTTAATGTCATGGATGTCCTCAAAGTAACGCCTGATTCCATAAAAAATAAGGCTAGTGCTAATAGAGCTTTTCTCAATTTGTTTTTTATTTTTTGTTCAACCCTAGTTTAGATATTTATGAAGACAACAAATTTTTAAATGTAATTTATATTAATTATTTCAGCTCTGGACTAATTCACAATCTGCCTATGTCATTCAGCTTATATTTTTCATTATCAATTGTCATTAGTTATTTGGCTTTTAAGTGGGGGAGAGCTAAACTTCGGCACGAGGGTACCACGTCCTCACAGAAAATCACAGCGTTGTGTTTCGCCGTATCAATGAGATTACCTTACCATAAGTGCTCAAACCTTTTACTCCTCCTTATATCCCTCCCCAATCCTTAAATCTCCCATAACCTTAATCCCCATCCAGCCTTTACCTGGAACCGCACATGTAACTCCTCTAATGTTTCAAGTATCAATGGGCGGCGTTAAAGGCTTACCATCAGGTAATCCGCCTAATAGTTTGTCTTTGTGTTACATAAAAAAAGCTTCTGTCAACAGTGGACCGCGGTTCCGATCCAGAGAAGTAGAAGGAACGGGGTAGTTTTTAGTCAGTAAGAGTCTGACACTCCTGCTCGCCCGAGAATAAGAGAGAGAAAAGAAGAATAAAAAAGGTAAAGATTTTCACCTCTCAAAAAATAACCTTGTATAGAGAAGTCACTACTTTCAAAAAAAACGTTACCCCACACTAGGATAATCTCCTGTGTCGTGAGTGCGTTAACAAACATACAATATCACATACACATTACACCCAGACCCGGTACAACAATTTGTTCCGTGCGGGAATCGAACCGAACACATTAAAAACAGCCTAGTTACCCAGCCACCGCGCCGAACATCACCAACTTAGTTTATCAGTGACAAAAAGAGAGCAAAATTTACTCCATTTTTTTTCTGTGAGTTTAAGAAAAAGAACCCGGAAATACCCCACCAGTCGCATCCTTGGTTGGCAATCTTAGTTAGAATTGAGAGCAAGTATATAAGATTGTATACTGGCTTTAACGCCAGTGTTTTCTGTTCAGTCTTAGCGCGCACACGTATTAGTGTCAAAGAGAGTGGAAGTGCAGTGATTTGTGGTCAACACGGAGATTTGAAAAAAAGTTAGTTGAAATTATTATTCTTATATTTTATTTCTGTGTAAGGCTATTTTTTTATTTTAATTTTCATATACTATGCGTTTTGTTTAAGTAAAGTGTGTACGAGTGTGGAAAATTGTTAGTAGTATAGCATTTCTTTTTCAAAATAAAATGATAGTTAGTTGTGAAAAAAGAAATATATTTTTTTGTACTATAAATTAATAAATAACAATAACTTTACAAACAATAAATAATATATCAAACAAATAAATACAAATAATAACACACTATTCAATTTAGTCATAAAACAAATTAAATAATAAAATTTGTCTCAATTTTTCGTTCGTCGTTAATCGTTAATAAATGACATTAATTTGAAAATTAAAATAAAATATTAATTTATTTATCAACAAAAACCAAATTTCAAAAAATAAACAAACAATATTTTAGAACAACATATTGAAATAAAAATGTATTTAGTAACTCAATTTTGTAGTTACTTTGTTTCAGTTAGTTAGTTACACACTCAATTAATTCATAAGTTAAACTAATTACAATAACTTAACTGCGGGAGTTAGACAATTTGAATATAATAGTAATTGTTTAACTACCGTTGGTCAGTGATTAACTTTTGATTCGCGGTTTAATGTAATAGTTAAAAAACTTTAACGAACTTCTGTTAAAGTTAACATTGACATGTTTATCTCTTCTTTGTTTGGGGTATAATCATGAATATACTTCTCTCTGGATAGACTTCTCTCTTCTCCCCTGCGTGGGAGGAAGTATCAGACTCTTTCTGACTAAAAACCACATCTTTCTTACCCTGCTCTGACCGGGACCGCAACTATAATTGAGCTTCAAGTTATTTGGCTGAGCGAATGGTTCTGTATTAGGTTCCCGCGTTCATCAAAATATAAAGAGGAACTTGATTATGGAATAACAGCCCAAACTTAATTGGATTAAAATTGGTTAAATTTTTGCGACATAGGATGTTATTGTTTCGATATTGAAATACAATCCAGTGAGATAGTTTTTCAGGAATATCTTACTAAATCACGAAGTTAGATTATGCTTCCTAGATGAGGTACAAAATCTTTGAATGAAAGTGACAGTGTTTTCTGTTTGGATAATCAAATATTTTACGTTAGTTCTATCTTAGTGTTCGCTAGATTTATTGATCTCTATTATCTCGATCGAAATAATTATGAATAATTTCTATACCTAATACCTCTTGCCACAGGACTATTGTACTTAATGAATATAAAATCTTATTTTGTACATGTGATTTACAATATCAGTTCTGTAGGAAACTTATTGATAGTATGCTAGCTTTTAAATTTTCGCGTTTCATATCAACAACATTCTATATAATTACGCGGGTATTAACGCGGAAAATTATTATTTGAATACCTTGGTGGGCTTGACGTTTCGACCCGGTTGCACAGGTTGTGGTCACAAGCAAACTCTATAATATCTTTATCTCTCTAGAAAATCCCTAGAATCCGACTTATTGATGTCGGATTCTAGGGATTCAAAAACGTAGTTTTATCGAGTACGTTCTTCTTCTTCTGGTTGCACTCGGTAGAGGGCGATTACATGATCAAAATTAGGGAAATTCGATATTTAATTAAATTAACTTTTTAAATGAATTAACATTTTGTCAATGAAAAAAATAATTTATTTTTGCAAATAGGCCATAAAACGGCACTTTAACACGTCAAATTATATGTGAAAAACTAGATGAAGCCGGCATTTCCTATCTGACTACTCTGAAAAGAAATGCCGAAATAAACTCAGAGGTCAGTCTCATTCTAGTGATTTGACTTAAAAATCCCACATAATCTGCGAACAGTGCTGTAGGCATATTGTTAAATATGTTTTGTATATCCGTAATACCTAAGCTTTATATTGCAGCTGTTTGCTGTTCCTTTTTGATAAAAATAAAATAAAATAAGCACTCGTTGCATACGCGACGTCGCCGCGACGCGAACGCTGTATGTACTTAAAGACATTTAAGCGAAACTTTTACTGAAATTTAAACTTATAATAGTTTGACTAATCGAAATAAAACTTGCATATCACACACAACCAGACGGCATAATAGTCAAGTGTGAGTCGTGACATTAGATTTATTAATTTCATAATTAAAATTTCAACATTTCAGTCAGCCCCTTTGTCGATTATTATAAAAGAAAACAAAACAACTCAGGAATCGAACCCAAATACCTAGTTTAACAGAGACCATTTGACCAAAATATGTGTTAATACCATCACGTCATCATCATCATATAAGTGCCCACTGTTGAGCAAAGGCCTCTTCTCATACGGAGAAGGTATGAGCATTAATCACCACGCTTGCTCAAGGTGCGTTGGCGATTTCTAAATTGTAATAAGAAACTTTTAAGTCCAGGTTTCCTCACGATGTTTTCCTCCACCGTATGTCAGTAACATCTAAATAATCATAGAAAGTACATATAACTCGTAAAAATTGACATTAGCACTTGTAAGGTTTCGAACCCGCACCCTCATGCATGAGAAGCGAGAGCTTTAACCTCCGAGCCATGTTAATACCATATGATCATAAGATCATTAGAAAAACTATTCAGAAAATAAAGTAGGTACACGCAATAATGATACCTATGTACTCACATTAATGTGGTTGTGTCGAAATTATTGCATATCAAAGCACATAGGTCGAGTCTCGGTGTTACTCTTGTTACATTTTATTGCAGCACTGAATGCAAATGTGGGATAAATGGATCGGAAAACTATGGAATTATAGTTTTACTAGCTTTGTAATGTGCTGTGGTATGTTGATAAAAAGCTGCATATGTCTATATCCAGGTTATCCACTTAACCTAGAAAGCCCTATAGGGCTGGCCTTACTAAATATCACAGAATACCACGCCATTTCTTTTCATGCTATTCTACTAATTTAACAATAATTTTAAGCACACTTTCAGACAATGATTATTTGTATGGTATTAGGTTGGCAAACGAGCAGATGGATTACCTGATGATAAGCAATCAGCGCCGCCCATGGAAGGTGTCCATGGACGGCATCACCCGAAGGAGTAAGGAGTGCGTTGCCGGCCTTTAGGGATAAAGGTTTTGGATATTTAAGGATTGGGAAGGATGGGAAAGGGGAGGGATTGGGCCTCCGGTAACCTCACTCACACGGCGAAACACAACCGTCTTCGCTCTCCCAAGGTTAACGAAAGATTAAGATAATCCAAGGTTCACATGTAAACAGCTTCCATATTTGTTAGCAGTTCTATAATGCCGTTTTAGTACATAATTATTAACTTAACGAAAATTTGTGAGTATATATGGATGTATGTTTGTTGTTCTTTCACGCAAAAACGGCTGGACCGATTTGTTTGAAATATATTATTTAGATAGGTGATAACATCCCTTTTTTCGTGAAGGGGAAATTATCAAATTCCTTTCCCCGCTCAGTGTGAAACGGGAGGGAGTGCCAGACTCTTACTGACTAAAAACCCCCCTGTTCCTTCTCCAGCTTTGAGAGGAGGCCGCGGTGCCTCATTGCACTTACCACAGTATGACAGTCGAATAGTAGAAAGTAGGTTAAACATAGTAGGATATTTTTGTTTAGTCATTTTTTGTAACTGCAACTGCTGTGCAAAGGCCTCTTCTTACACGGAGAAGGACACTTTGTTACATTATTAAGTTTGATGATGTTAAGTCAGTAAGAATCTGGCAACCTTGCTCAGGACGAGTTATTCATAGGTAAAACGCTCTTAAATAAAATAAAAACAATACATAGGTACTTTTTTATGTAATAGGTCGGCAAACGAGCAGACGGATTACCTGATGGTAAGCAATCAGCGCCGGCTTGGACACCCGCAACGGGGGAGTTACGTGTGCGTTGCCGACCTTTTAGGGATTAGGGATTTGGAGATTTAGGGATTGAGGAGGGATTGGGGGCGGGGAAGGATTGGGCCTCCGGTAACCTCACTCACGCAGCGAAACACAACATAGGTACATCATAAATACTTATAATAAGACTTGTAACTTAGAAAACTAGTGGGAGGATAATAACTTCAGAACAACTATCCAGTTGACAGAAACAAAAACAAAACAATGGATACCTATAACCTAAATCCAAATGACCCACTTTAGTTGTTAATCCAAATTCGCCTCTAAAACAGCTATTAAACCAAAAATCTAAAACTAATTTCGTTTATAGTCCATTTAAATTAGTAGTTAAGTTAATATTATGTACTTAAACGGCATTGTTGAACTGCTAACAAATATGGAAGCTGTTTACATGTGAACCTTGGATTATCTTTCGTTAAGTGTGGGAGAGCCATGCTTCGGCAAGAATGGATCGGCTCGACCGGAGTGTCACTACGGCCTCACATAAAACCGGCGTGAAACAACCACAGCGTTGTGTTTCGCCATGTGATTGAGGTTACCGAAGGATAAATACCTCGCCCCCCCTTCCTCCTCCCTTCATTTTTTTTTACTTGCCCTAAACTGGTGCTTGACTGCGATCCCACCTGATGGTAAGCAGTGATGCAATCGTTGATGGTAAGGCGCACTAGTTTATTACGAGCCAATTCACGCTAGCCTTGAAGACATCTAAATTATATTTGGAAGGAAAGACTGCAGCCGGCAAACTGTTCCAATCCCTCGATGTACGCGGTATAAATGACGAGGCAAAACGCTTAGTCCGGGCCGCAGGTGTCTCAACAACGTAAGGGTGGATACTTGCCGTACGCATCTTTAGGTATTATTAAAATACCCTTAGGTCGACAACGAACTTGTAGTGTAGTAACTCATTTAGTATTACCTGTGTTCATGGATGACGCTGATTGCTTTACCATCAGGTAATCCGTCTGCTCGTTTGCCGACCTATGACATAAATTACTATTTAACAGAGACCATGTTGCTTCATTCTTTGATAATCCTGATCCCTTTTATCTACAATCTTCTTTCCTATAGCGAAAGTGAAAACTCCTCGTAGGAAAAGACCTATAGGTCCAGAATATTCTATCACA